GCGTGAAACGTCTAGCACAGTCCACAAATCCTAGTTGAGTACTCAGCGTTTGAGTCAAATTCCTATTAGTTAGATCCTGCGAAAGAGTATCAAAATAAAAGGGTCAGTTCAATATAAGATCAAGGACGTAATAGTTTTAATTAACCACAATATAAGCAATTTGATTAAATAGGAATAAGGGCTTGGATCTGAGTTTTATAGTTCTTTGTCAATTTGATTAAATAGGAATAAGGGCTTGGATCTGAGTTTTATAGTTCTTTGTTGCTGTGGAATTCTGCTGAGTTCAGATCTGTGAATGAGAGGTTGCAACGTCGAGAACACTTGGTATTGTTTACGATACCTAGCTTAAAAGGCACAATTGGAATCACTCCAGAAATCTCTTTGATCTATAGTTCTCATTCAAAATTTACTGACAATTACATAAAAATTCCTCCTTTTTATAGAGATTCAAATAATAGAAGGTAACTCAAATCTTATTTAAAAACATGTAAATGCTTATCCCTAAACAAATCAAATCAAAACAATCTCAATTCTATCGATAACCTTATTCTTATCTTAACAATAACCAAGTAAAATTTGAATTATCTCAAACCGAATAAAACTAACCTACATCTTAGGTTGCGGTGGTGGAAGAGGCCTAGCTGCATCTAAGATTATGATCTAGAGTTTGTGGAAACATGGGTTACTACAAACATGTAGGTGGTAATAATCAAGATTAGTATCATTGACATGTCACTGCTCACACTTCATGATGATAACTAATGTTTTTTAAAAAAAAACCTAGTCTCTTATACCAATCTGACGTAGCACAATCTATCAAGTTTTAGCAAAAGTGATTAAATAAAGTAATATGTAGAGCAAATACAAACTCACACAAAAATTGTAGCAGAAAATAATTTTAAATATCAAACTATAATATACTAACAACTAATAGTAATAAATGATACAAAAGCTACAGCAAATAAGGAATGCGTTCGCGATAATCCTGAGGTGTGAAATGTCGAGCACAGTCCACACAAATCCTACTTGAGTACTAAGCGTTTAAGTCAAATTCCTATTAGCTAGATCTTGCGAAATGGTATCAAAATAAAAGGGTTAGTTCAATATAAGATCAAGGATGTAACAGTTTTAATTAACCATAATATAAACAATCTGATTAAATAGGAATAAGGGCTTGGATCTGAGTTTTATAGTGCTCTGTTGCTGTGGAATTCTGCAGGGATCAGATCTATGAAGGAGAGGTTGCAACGTTGAGAACACTTGACACTGTTCACGGGTATTGTTCATGAGAGGGTTTAGATCTGAAAGAATAAGTTTAAAAGGCACAATTAGAATCATTCCAGAAATCACTTTGATCAATAATTCTCATTCAAAATTTGCTGATGATTACATAAAAGTTCCTCCCTTTTATAGAGACTCAAATAACTAGAGAATAACTCAAATCTTTTCTAAAAACATGTAAAATGTTTATCTCTAAACAAATCAAATCTTATCTAAAACATGTAAATGCTTATCTCAGAACAAATCAAATTAAAACAATCTCAATTCTATCGATAACCTTATTTTTATCCTAACAATAACCAAGTAAAATCTGAATTATCTCAAACCGAATAAAATCTGATGATATCTCAATGAGATCTACAATGCCAAGTCCCTCTAGAATCGGGTATATTGATCCCTTTTCACTTTGTTAACTAGATGCTATTTTGGCAAAAAAAAAATATCCTTTTGATACAAAAGGATCCAATGACATTGATACATTTTTCATAACCAATTCTTTTGGTTCATATTATACTTTTAGCTGAGGTCTTTTTATTTGTTCTCAAACTCTGATATTGTTTTACTCATCCTATCTTTGTATTTAAAACATACTCAGAAAATGTAAAGTTTGGTTAAGAAGCCATGTAACGTGTCCGACAAATGTAAAATGTTAAGGATTTTTTTTGGGATTTGAATTGAAATTTCATCAAAAAATAGGTCAAAAGTGTTTGATACCAACTAGACACAACAACTAGGTCATAGTTTTAGAATGAAAGTTCATGCTTTCATTCGGGGTTTGTGCAAACTTTCTTAAAGTTCATGGGAATTTTGTGAAAAACACACCCAAGAAATCTTCAAATGTGGTTTATATATTAATTTGAACTTTAAAAGTGGTTTTTGTATTTTCATCCTATTTTAAAGGTGGTTTTTGTTAGGGCGAAAAACATTTCACAAGACTAGATTATCATAATTTTGGAGTTTAAATAGGCTACCATAACTTCTTTTTTCCAAAAAAAAAAAGAACGCTTCTTTTTGGACCCACAAAATTCACAGAAATATACATGGAACAAATGCAATGTGTCAATTTCATTTTCGTAAAGGTTTTTTAGCAAGATCAGTGGCTAAGAAATATGTCACCTCACTTGTCCCATTATTGGTCCTACAAGAATAATTTCCCCTATAAATTTCTATGTATCTTGTAAATGACATGCTTGAACAGCTACCTTTAAATTCTTTATATATTTTCTATACCAAATTTATAAATTTTATGAATTTAATAATTTATAGATATAAATAGAAGGAATTAGATCTTTTATCCAAGATAGTAATACCATTAGTCAACTATCATTGTGTTATTAAATAAACACTATAATAAAATAGTATAAGTATAATTATTTTAATAGTATTATATAATTTTTTAAACATAGTTCATATAAGAAGAATATATAAATGAGTTTGGAAGAGATACTCTGATAGGGTGTATTGGTTGAATTTAGAGGTCAATTTATCCTGGTCATGCACACAATAGCTGTAGTATTTTGTTCCTATAGGTTTTAATTATGGAGGATGGGCAGTTATATATGAAGATTGGTTCTACAGAAAGCTCTATTTTGCAGAACTATCTTAGAGTGTAACTTGGTGATATTTTAGCACATTCATAGTGGAAAGTTATTGTTACGATGTGATCCACGATGGTGGCCTTTATTATTTCATAGTAACCCAGATAAGACCCAAAAGTATTTAAAGATTGGATATAATCATTTAGATGTGTGATGTTACAGTGTTAGTTTTGCTTGTTCATTTCCTGTCCAACAACCATGTGTGAAATACATTTGTAAAAGATATACCAGCCTATAATCAGTGGCGGAGCCATGAATTTCGGCAGGGGTTCCAAAAATAATTAAATATGATAACATATAATTTTTGTAAAATAATTGATTAACATGTAAACATCATTACATGGGGGTTATCTCATAGTGGGCCAAAAATTTGTGGGGTTATGTGACATTTACCGCTTTTTTTACATGGCCAGAAATCTAAGCCTTGTTTTTTCAGAAAGCCCTTTTATCAGTATGTTCTGCTATTCTTTCATTTTTTAGCGAGCTCTTTATAGTTTCTAGTGTGTTTTTATTAGAACTCCAATGTCTTTTTAAGTTATTCTGCTGTTATTTCTTTTTAAGTTACTATGCTTTTATTTCACTTTCTTCTGTTGGAATCTAGATTTCATTCTATTTTATTTTTACTAACCAAAAACTGCCAAATGTGAGTATTTGATCAAAGTTTACTCTAGATGAGACTGAAAAGTAAGAAATTTATATTATGAATATTATGGATTTTAAGGAGTAATCATTTCTTCAAGAAGTAATTCATTCTTTAAGAAATAGCATGTCTTTTTTCATTGTCATTTGCTATCATTGTCCCATCTAAAGACACCGGAAGCATGCATTTCTCTTCCTCTGCAACTTCTTAATTTTCCTATTTAGAGCTGAATAATTTGTATAATTATATTTCTGGATTACTGGTCCTCGTTGTATTGCTCAGCTGGTTCCTTGGTCATCATGCTGGGATTGCAATATAGAGGCATAGTGCTGAACTACCAAGGGATTCTTCTTGTAAAAGCTAGGGTGACTTATGCTTTTTAACCCCCATGAATAAATGATGCCTATTACTTGTTTTTCTATATGTAGGGGGGGCTGGGGCCCATTTGGCCCCAGAATGGCTCCGCCTTCGCCTATGATGTTAAAGCCCTGTAATGGAATATCTAAAGTATTTTCTGCTGTGTGCATAACAAGTGGGAAAAAATATCGAAAGTTGTAGTGTATCTAGAAATTAAAGGAAACCCAGGCTCTATGAAGCATTGTAAATTAAGAAAATATTGCTTACTAGCTAATTTTCAAAATTAAAAAATGAACCGGCATAAAAGATTGCTCCTTTTTTTAAACCATGAATGATGGCTTTAAATTGCTTGGCCTTTTAAAGGTCACCAACCTGTCACCATAATGGAAGAGAAACCAATGTTCAAGGGTTCATGGTCAGCAAGAGACCAATGGAGCATGTAGGCTATGTAGCACGGACACGGATCTGACACAGCCATCCGATATGCCGACACGAGGCAAATCCTAAAAAATACATAGGATATGTGTGTTCGACACGTGTGTCCGACACGGACATGACACGACACGGCTTCATGTTATGCGTGTCCGTGCTTCATAGCATGTAGGCACTGCAGACCTTAGTGAAGTAATTGAAGTAGAGTGGTTATGATTATTGGTACGCTACATAAGATTTCTCAACCGAAAGGACATTTGGAAATAGGGGTTTGCCACCTACCTTAGTGGACTACAGTAAGCAAAAGAAAGGAGTTCTCTTGGAGTGGATAATTATATTAAACTAATGAGATCTACTTCATATGTCTGTGTTTTTCTCTTTTGTTGTTCTTAGGGTAGGATG